ATGCCTGCATGCATGGTCACACAAACACCATCATCATCAAATAAAGTCATACAAAAAGAGTGACCTGCCTCCCCATACAGACAGACATTTACTTCTTGTCTCCTAAAGGTCTTATTTTCCCCCTGTTATCTCTTCAGTACTGGGAACTGCTGAGCTTAACAAAGTAAACTTGGTTTTACTTATCACAACAAGCTCAGGAAGCTCTAGAAGGAGCAGAAACCCAAACAGCTCTGATGCAAATACTCAACCTGAAGCCCTGAAGACTGCTTAATGTTTAAAACCCCACTACTGCCATGCTGACTCGCTGGTTAGGGGATTTCAAACACAAATGGGTCATCTGCATTTAATGTGAAGTTATACAATAGCTTGCCAAACAAATGGATGCTTATGCCATCATGGAGCTGTTTAGGGATTCCAGACTGGAGCACATAGCTATTATAAAAAGCAAATTCTCTGAAAATCGCACACCTCTCCTCCCCTCCCAAGGTAACAACTTCAGCTGAAAAGGGATTCGGGATAGTACAATATGGACAGCAAAAGCTCAACGATGGAGTAGTGCACTGTAATCTCAAATACAAGTATGTCTCTGCCTGCTTGAAATGGCAAGATTATAAAATTTTTCAGTTCACCAGGGACAAAAAACCCACTAATTCAGCCAAGAAGAAACAAAACCCGTAAGCTGATGAAGGCCAATACCTACACGTTCACATCATAAAAAAACCTTGATACAACACATTCAAGTAGAAGGTTAAAAACAAGTCTCCAGTCTCAAGTGCCACGCATCTCAGTCTCAATAGCTGTGTTCATTCACAGAACCTCCTCAGGGAGAAACACCACTCGTGTTAAAGATGATAAAAAAATCCAGATGACTACACTTTATAAATATAGAGAGGTTCAAACTAATTCTGTCCCTCAGCACATGTTACTGGAACAATTGTTGTGCTGCTGTCTACAGCTTATTCCCTTCTTAACTAGAAGAGGCAAACTGTCTGCTTTAGAGGCATACAACGTAGTTCCTTCCATCATCTTCATTCCTCTCCTCACTAGTAGTCACTAAAACAAAAGACTCTTCCAGCCAATGGTCCTGACCCTGATGCCGAGCTGTTATGGCTTCATGTTCAAAAAGATTCACGTAGAAACACAACTGTAAAATTTAAAAGACAAATTACTCATTCTTTTTTTTTCATCAGTGCACTGCCTGCTGCAAATGTGCGTAATCCAGTAGGGACCTCTGGAAGAACACCAGGTCTTCACTGAACAATTTCCGATGCAGCTGCTGACGGTTAACAGCAGTTAAGGGGACAGGACAAGGGCTGCAGCATTGCACCTGAATGCCCTGACTGATCCACCACCACCAGAAAGGGGTCTGACTCATTTTCCCATGGCTCAGTACTCATGCAGCACACTGGCTTTAATGATGGTACCACGAAAGACTGAGCTGGAAGAACCTTCTTTATCTTTCAATAAAGAAGTTCAAAAGCTACTTTGCAGGAGCTCATTTTTCTTTTGTTTCATTAAAAAAAGGAGACATGCTGAACGTTCGCTTATTGAGAAATTCCGAGTACCATAAATACGTTCAAAATAGGAGTCAAGTTGCAATTCCACATCCAAATATAAGTCAACCCCTTTGAGACCTGGAGAATACAGAAGAGACAGCCCCAGCTCAGCCCAGCACTCCTCCCTGGCATGCCGTCCCCGAGTGCATGTGTTCCAATGTGTTTATATGGGAAGGCTCAGGTCAGTCATGTGCTGTAGGAGCATCTCCTGCAGCTGGAACATCCAAAGCAGGTAGCGCTCCATGTTGTAAACTGCTCATGCAGCAGGACTGAGAAAAAGGCATCTCCTGGTCACCGGCTGTTACTGACTACAGGAAAATGAAAATACAGCATCTCCGCACCTGTTCACCTGATGGTGAAGGAAGGAAAAGCCATTACCGAGTGACAGGAGACGAAAAACCAAAATCCACTTCAGCAACTCATCCCCACACTGGTGATTAATCTCACACTCCCACAGCCTGATGCACATTAACCAGATAATTAATAATTTCTTTAGGGACTCCAGCTCGGCAACTGTTTTATCAACCTGCACAGCATTAGCAGAGAGATGCTGCATTTGTGATCAAACTGCTGGAACTACGGAAATGTTCTGCAGGAACAGTAAAAGCTTCAGAGCAATCTGTGAGCCCAGTTTTATAAGCAACTGTAACATATGTGCAGAAATCAAGGCTGCTCCTTTGTCAGTGGAATCACCAGATTCAAAATCTGAGCAAGATCAGCATAATTAGAATAATTAACAGTTATGCCCAACTTCCATCCAGCCCCCATCTTTCCCCAACAGAAGTGCTTTTCAGTATTTTTTTTTTCTTTTTAAATACATTTTGCCTGATGTAGTAGCACAGTATGTCAGATCATGCACTTTCACTGACTTGGTATGGATACTAAATCAGATCCATTTACCTAACACCAAAAAGACTGAATATTTTAAAAAAACACCTAAGTTATGAGATGTCCAAATTCGATAAGCCAAAGGCTCTCAATTAATTCAGTGAGGAGCGTGGCAGCACTTGCACAGCTCTGGCTAACAACATTTTGCCATCCTCTGTGCACTCACACTCCATGTTCAAGGACAGAGTCATACAGGATCAGAAACCCAATACCACAGTGCTGGCACCACATTATCTCCGCCAGCACTTAAAAATGGACTGCTAAGAAAAATCAGGGTAAGTATTCTTTCAGATATTAAACTCTTCAATGTGTTAGATATATGTCAGTATTAGGTGGTTAAGAATGACTGATAATTAATAAATCACATCCAGAGAATGACTGGGTATTATTTCTTTCAACCTGTGAGAAGCACTAGATTCACAATTCTGCCTAAATAATTTTATCTTTCCAAATGAACAATCTTGTGTAACTTCTGCTTGCAAGGAGATGCTGGTTTTTTGTCAGTAAGCTTCAAAATAATGTTATTTGGGCTGCTTTTCTATAAACAGTTTATTGTTATCATCACTGTACAGGCGAGGAAACAGAGGCACACCATGTGGGAATGTCTCGATGAAGCCTCCCTACCAGAAACAGGGTGGGCTTCTAAGCAAAGTCTCAACTGGTCCTTTCATTGCACAACTATTCTGACACCCGAGAGAAAGCTGCAGCTTTTGGCTATGGCTCAGCAGATTATCTGTCTTCTGAAAGATATTCTGCTCTTAGGACTCCAGTCCTGGAAACGCACCCATGCAGAGCTCCAGTGATAGCCATGCACATCTGTCCATGCAAGTGCAACTGCAGGACTGGTTGCATATCTGTATGTGCATACTCCAAAATGATATGTTTTCTCCAAAGTCTGTTCTAATACCAGGTTAGTAATAAAGAATGCATTTTCTTAGTACATAATATGGCTTAATTTGTATTTTCCTTTCATATGACGTTAACTGAAAGACGTAATAATGTAATTTTTAATCATCTACTTTAGTATTTATATGATTCTGCTCACCATATTATTTGAGCCCTTTCATTTTCATAGTGTCAGTTACCATTATTCCATTAAATTAAATCCTTTTACAAGCATCTTTCCATAAACATGCACTAGAGATAACACAGCCACATGGTGAGGATTCACAGACTACAGTAAGCAGATTACACCTGTCTTGATTTTCAGTGTAGCTGTCGGCAGAGTATATTCTCCCATCAAACTGCACGCAGATCTCCTCATTAAAGCTACAGGGGAGAATAATTACAGAACAGTACATTGCAGTTTACCAATTGGTCTTGCATACATAATGGCCTATGGAAGAAAAATTGCATCCTTTAACAGCTGGGAAAAATCTTTAAATTGTGATTATTATTATTATAAAATAGGCAACATTTTAAACTATCCAATAACATGCGTCTTGTATGCAAAGCAGATACAGGTGATCAGGTCCAAAAAGGCCTTAGACTCCCAGTCCATAAATATAATTATTTTCCCCTTTGTAAACACTCCATTCCCCAACCTTCTGTTCTACAGTAAAACCCCCTCCTCCTGAGAAATTATGCCGATTGCAGAGTAAGCCTTGAAAGCAAATGGGTGGTTTTCTGGATCTCATAAGCCCTGCTGCTGAGCATTAAGCATCACATTCCTCCACATCCTTGCTCCTCAGCAGGGAAAATGGTGAGTCCATCAGGTCCCCATTGCCCTTCTCCCACCAGCCAGGGGAGAAGTGGGTCACAATGGCAGCCCTATCTGAGTCTTTCTTCCAGCCCTCAGCACCACCAGCAGACCTCCTTGCTTGGCACCTGGCTGCCAAGGTGCTGCCTACCCCAGGTAAATGGTGCTGGGGAGACTGCAAACATCTCCAGATGGTGCAGAAGGGAGCACACCCTTGGTGTTTCTGTCCCTGGCCATTTACACTCCAGGGTTGAAGCATCCAGAATATATTGAACTGATGGTCTTGTGGAGCACCAGGAAGACTGATTTCTCTCCAGTGCTGAAAGTTTAAACATCTGACCTATGTTTGTGTTAACAGATAAAAGGCAAATCCATTTTGATTCGGATGCCATTTGCATTCTAAGATCCCAATAGGTAGTACCCTCAGCTCCACTCAGCATCCAAACCCACTGCTTTTCAGGCACTGTTATTCAATACGAGCTCTTCCTCCTCATACAGACAGCATGAGGGAAAAAGCAGACAAAGGAAAAGCCAAATTCTTCAGATGAAATAAAGTCAAACTAGCTTTGCTAACTTTTCTTGCTAGCCAAGAAGCAAAATATCCTAAGCACATATTTGGGCCCCAACAGGATGTCCTGACATGCTCTCCAACTCTGCTTAATGAAGAGCTAAGGAACTTCAGTGACAAGAGAGCATGCTGCTGGACCGGTCCCCCATATTCCAGTTCTCAAAAGATTCTCCCAAAATGAAAGACTCCAGAAGAGACCCTTTTGTACAAGCAGCCCAACAGCCACCTTTTTCCAGCTCTGAAGGACAGCGCACACACAAGCCAGCTCAGCATGTAGCAGGACACTTACCATGTAAACGCGTCTAATTGCTTGCGGCATTAAAATCACTGAAGAACAAAATTGTTCTATGAAGCAGCTTTCAGTACCAGCATTGCAAATGACTTGCTGCTGCACTTTAACCAGCTGCACCTCCCAGACAAGCTGGCACACTTAAAGCTTTCCTCCAGTCTCTACCAGCTCTTTACTTGTAACGGGGATGCACCAGTGACAGAAGCCGAGCAGAGAACCAAATGGAGCAGATCCTGGTCGGGTGGGCAGCCTACCGCCAGGCTGGTCATTTCTATGGACCATGAAATCTTTGAGTTTCTCTTAGGCAACTGCAGGGAAAGGCAACATTGCATACTCACGGGTTAATTGGCTGCAGGCTAAAAGAGATCACTCAGTCCGACCTCCTGTGCAAACACTGGCCATTAACTTTCACCCATTTACACACCACTTTGCACTCAGTAACTCCAGCACTTTAATTAGCAAGTTTGGATAGAGACAATTCCTGGACACCTCAATCACTGCTTAGCTTCCTCAGAAAAACAGAAGAAAAGAAAATCAGCATAAACTTTCTTTGTCTCTGCTGCAAACATCACAAATTTTGCAAACTACTTCCTCCAGCCGCAGAGTCCCAGCAGGGGCAGAAACCACCCCTGGGTGACCACCACCAGCAAGGACAACCTCCACCAGAAGCCTGGTAACAAAGCCCAGCGGTGACAGCACGTGGACCCAAGGATATTTTGTTCTGGCCTTTAGTCTGCGAAGAGGAGCTCAGCGAGACCTCCCGAGGCTTAGTTCCTACTTCAACTCTCCCTCACAGTACCAAAGTCAAAGAGATTTTTGCCATCGATTGCTACAGTAGCAGAGTTCAGCCCTTTCAGAAAACTCTCCTCGACTTCACTAGTTCTGGAGCAAAACATAAATCAACTGAAGCACATTAACTAATATAGCTCATATTAGAAATATAAACACCTCACAGAAACTGTGCTTTTTAAAGATTAAGTATTAGAGGTCTGGCAAAATTTCTTCCTTCTACTGCTGTCCCTTCACGTGACTGACCATGCATATACAAGTCATACATTTAAAGGTACTCTGTAACAAAACAATCCTTAATTAATTATCAGAATATATAACCCATGACTTTTTGAAAGAATCATGCATCCGATATGTCTTTACAAAAATATTGTAATTCCACTTTCCTGTTCTTACTAGAAAAAAAAAAATCAGCCTGGCAAATGGAGAGAAAAGAGACATAAGACTACTACTGACTAAACCATAATATACAGGATTATCTGGAAATTGCCAGATTAGGAACCTCATTTTTCTGGATGGAGAGGGAAGGGTGAACCACACCCACCGCAAAGGCATTGAAGGAAAAAAAAAAAAAAGAAATCCTATCAATTGAGTAGAGAAACCTGTCACAGCTATTTTAGTACATCAGGACTCTGACTACGTATCAGAGAGGAGAAGCCCTGATCAAGTCACATGCCCTTTACTACAGAAGATAAGATCAAAAGGTTTCAAAGGAAACTGATGGTGACAGTTTCTTCATTTGTATGCAATGTGACATACCAGATCCAAACTGCTGACTACTTTTTGAACTATTTGTCAGGGGACAGGAATGATTATTTTCTTTTATATCTTACTTTTAAGAAGTGTTAGTCATTTGGGGGTTCTTCACCCTGCTCCATGTCCCACCACCCTTCTTTTCTTTTTTTTCAGCCAGAATTCAAACATTCACCTTTGATGTAATATTTTTGCTGCACATCAGAATAGCTATGCCAAGCTTCAGAAAGGCAGTTGAATACAGAGAATGAAAAGGATGACATCACTTCAAACATGAACTTTTAATAAAATTACCCTCAAGAAACTTCCCTTGTGCGGGTTGTTGGTTTTTTTTTTTTTTTCTGCCCTGCATCTTCTTTCTTACTCTTCCCATGCATTTGCAATAATTCAAATTATTGCCAGGCTAGTGGCTGTAGTTGTCTCTGAGCCACCAGCTACACACTAGCAGAAGTATTTGTCCCTGGTTCTCACCACTTCTGTCAAGAAAAGTGTTAAACATAACACAAAAAGTGACTATGTACAATCACAAATCAGTTAGCCAATAGGCTGTATAACAGTTACATCCACATGACAAATAAAGTAAATGAAGGACTTGTGACTAGCTCAGCTTCTCCATGGCCAAGACCTGACAGATTTCAGCCCAGAGTTTGCTGTTGGTGTGCGAAATCTGCAGTCGCTCTTGCTATACTTTTTAGTAAAGTTCCTCCAAAACATGTCCTTCTCTCCAAAAAATACCAAAAGCCTTGTCCAAGTTCATTGGTGCTAAGAAAGGCACTCAGTATTCATGAGCCAGTAATACGCTTAAGGTAATAATATTCTCCCAGAAGTGTTGTGTAACATTCAGAAACTGCAGTAGTTGCAACCATATAAGTATCTGAGACAGCCAGACACGAAAAAATACGTCGCAGCCTCTTGGGTGAAAGAGAAGGTACTCAAACCACAGGAAAACAACACAACACTCACTTCTAGCTCTGGTACAGCCCAATAGATCAAATTTTACAGTTGTACCATTTGTTTTTAAATGTGAAAAATACATAGTTTAAACATTTCAAACTCTCATATAAATCCTTGTGGGTCCAGGAATCACGCTAATAAAGCATGCTGAATTTAAGGGCTCAAGCCTAAGCCCCTTTCAATGCAAGGGGAAAAAATAGCTCTTACAGTAGTATTTCTCACTCAGCCCAACTATTTTTGAAGCAAGTTGTTTGGAAATACATGGCTTACTCTTATGAGCCTATTAAGAATTTACACAAGTATTTATATAGAAATTACTGCAGTATACAGGTTTAGAGTCACTTAGAAAGTTTAAAAAGCATATGACAACACCTTTAGCACATAAAGCTGCTATCAGAAACTCCTGTCAGGGAAATTTTATGCTGTACCATCCCCAGGTCTCTATCCATGCAGCCCAGACCTTCTCTGGGGTTGTTGCAGCGTCCTTTGCGGGGCAGCAAGAGGAAGAGAGCTCCACCTTCCCGTCACGTTCACTGGCTCCTCAGACACCCCAGCAGTGCTCCTGCTCCAGCTCTGTTTCCGCTCAGAGCTGCGGCTGCAGTCCATCTGCATCTCCTCCTCTGACACTGACCGTAGTGCAAAGGAAAGCAAACATACCTGCAGTTTCCCTTGGTACCATACTGAAGCCTGGCATTTCATTCTTCTACATTCTTGAAGCAATGCAAAACCCAAAACCCACACAAGGCACAGTAACGCTGGTGTGACCCAGTGCTCACCTCTCCCAACTGTAACAATATGAAGACCATTGCACTAACAAACATTTTGATTCGGAATTTATACAGACAAAAAAAAAAAAAATTCAAAAATTGTCATTAACAGCCAAAAAACCCAGCACATATCCTTCTCCTGGACACACAAACCCATACGCTTTCACGTGACTTGCAAAGGACCTGAAGAGTTTGTCTGCACCTTGCCCACACATCACTATCTGATTGTGTGATGAGACTTCAGTTTGATATGCACAACCCCACAACAAGCATCCATGGCTGCAAAACATCTGTGCAATTTGTATTCCAACCCACATTATAGTGCATGTCCCTGCCAGTACATCAGGTGCCTGCTGAGGGTAGTCTTGGAACACACCAAACCAATACAAGAGTAAAACTCTAAGAGAACTATAAATTGAAAATGCAAAACCAAACAAGGCATTACAAATTATTATGACCTGAAGTTACTGACACATTCATAGGGGATGTGAAACCTAACGAACAGGGTGGGAAGATCCAGCAGGCATAGTATCACATAACAGCATTCTCATCATCCAGCTTCTGACACCAAACATAAATGGAGAAGTCACTCCTCCTAGGCTCTCTCAACAGAGAGCAACACAGCAAAAAAATCAGTTTTTCCAAGGGTGCTTCAGAGTTAAAGTCTGGGGAAGGTGGCCCCCTGAAGTGGCCACTGACCTGCATTAGGAGTCTGACAGGTATAGGTCGCTCTTTTCACATGCTCAGCAGGCAGCCCAGGCTTCAGCAGACCAAAGTGGATGCTGGTTCACTTGAATACACAGTGCTGTAAGCAACAAAATTCAGCTGCTTGCTGCAATTATCCCTGCTACAGGAACAACAACTTCCAGAGACAGACAGGCTTTCAGGTATTGTTAACTAAGCCAGACATGCAGGGTCAACTCACTAACAGGTATGAATCAGCATTGTCAGGCTTTTAAATCATATGCTAAAAGCCAGGTGAAACTCATCCCCCCCTTCCCCAGGTGCTAGCCAAATCCATGTTTTACTCCTCCCTGGGGTGCAGCACCTGAGCTGCTGGGTGGACTTGTGGCTCCTGGCAAAGAAGAGCTGAGTGGTAACAGTGATGGCTGAAACTGGGAAGGACTGTATATATAGTGGAGTCCCTGTGGGAAAAAGGGGGTGGTGGATTGCTCATTTTGCACCCTTCAGTAAGGCCAGTGGGTTTTCTTCCCTGTGTAGGTGTTGTGTGTTTTTTCAATCACCAGGAGATGGAACAATTAAGAAGTGCTCAATACCCTTCTCCCCCACACACAATATAACACCTTAGTCATCAAATCACCCTATTGTGCTGCTCAATACTTTCTATAAGAGTAGGAATATGAGACTACATCCAAAGATAGCAATGAACACACAAGGTAATTATTTTTAAGCTTGCTAATCACAATCAATAGTTTCTTAGCAAAACTGATGAGCTGGGGTTGGCTCCTATTTTTAACCAATAAGATATGCAGTCAAGACTTGAATTACACCATCGGGCAAGTCTCCAAACTCCTAATGACTGCCAGCCAAGAGAAGGATGGGTCTTTGCTGGGTCTTGCTCCCTTCCTGAGCATGATATCAAAGTATTTTTATCGTAGACTGTAAAGCCAGAAGTGTATTGTAACCACCGTACAACTTCACCAAAAACACCAAACCAGAATTTAGCTTTATATATCAAAAAAGAGTTATACAATTCTAAAAAAGCTGGAGGATGTTCACTTGACTACTTTGAAGTTTTTGAGCTGTCTTGTAAAAGAAAAACTCCCTATAGGACAGTGCCACGTGCCTTCCCGGGGTGTACAATTAGGGACAGATGAATACAAGTCGAAGACTCGTTAGAAAGCTCAGACCATCTCCCTGTTTCAGTAGGATTTTTCCTTAATCTTTCTCATGTTTTGCTATCCCTACATTTTTCTAAATTTCAAAAGCCCTGATTTTCCA